CAGGAGAGTCGGGTGGGAAAGTCGGCCGCTGCAGGCACAGTTATAGCTAACTCAGCAGCGGAGGTTTTAACCGCCACGGTGTTTAACAGTGCATCCCATTTTTGGTCCGGCCAGAGCCGAGCGACCGACCAGCCTGCGGCTGCCCATGGGGCTGCCTGCCCGTGCCCATGGCTGGAGGCTGCGTTGCCACCTCGCCCACACCGGTCAGGGTGCTCGGTACCCTGACAGCCGGACCCAACTGACAACGCCGCGCCAGCCGGGCCCAGCCGCGCGCCTCCGCGGCCAAAGCGCGAAGCGCCAAACGGCGGTCCGTCCGCCGGCGTGCATTCCAATGGGCTCCACCTCCCGTCCGCGCCGCGTCCGCGCCCCGCCCGGGGCCCCGCCGGCCCGCGCACCCTAATGTAAACACGACGCTTACTCCCCGCTCACGAGCAGCCGGAGGCGCACCCGCGGCAGCAAGGCTCGCGAGCCGGGCGGGCGGCGGGCGCAGCGGCGACAGCGACCTTCCGAAAGGGAAAGCCACACATGCAGGCCCACACGCACACGTGACCTGCCCCAACCCAGACCGGCCACCCGCCGCCCGGGCCAGGGCAAGCCCAGCCTAGTGCAGGTACGAGAAGTACCACACGACGCTCCGGGCGGGCGTGGTGCCGGGCCCAGCCACTCCCACAGCTGCCGCCGCACCTGCGCACCTGCACGCCCATTTGCATACTGAGAAAACGTTTCCCGTTTTCGTCGGGAGAGTGAGAGACCGCGCGCGCGGATAACTTGAGGCATCGCGTGGGAGAGAGATGCACAGCAGCCCGAGTCGCTGCTGCCGACGGCACATCTTACAAGCTTATCGCTCTCTCGCCTTGACTCCGTTTTTCTTCTGTGTTTTATTTCCCATCTCTATTTTCGTTTTCTTTGCATTTACAACTTTTCACAGTACTTCCCTCACCGTTTTTTTACTCCCCCGGCATTGCGAAACCGATCACCGCGCGCGCGGCTCGAGACTCTACAGCCCGCGAGACTACCACGTCAAATGCAGATTACATCTCGGGTTGTTGTTGGACGGCATTTTAAGGAGAGTCGACATTACGAGCGCCTCCGGCAAAAAATACGACGCCCCTTATCCCCTCCCATTCCGACAGTGTATACCAGACCACAGGCGCACCTGTGCTGACTGCCTGGCGCTGGCTGGCAGACTGTGATGAAAAATTTACAGCAGCTCATTACGTTATCGCAGACGAGTATAAATCCCGGCGCAATGTCACGAGGGGAAACAAGGTCGAGGCGCCCAGACCAGACGGCACACTCCCGGGAAGATTCCGCTATTATTCATTTATTTATTTTTGTTTTGATTGCATTAGACGGAGGTAGCACAAGGGGACTGGGGGGACGGGGGGTGGGGTGCGCGCGAACAAGTTGCCAAACCACGCTCCAACGCGTTTCAGTTACGTTTTATGAAATTTTCGAAAGTCGTCGCGCGATCCGTCGAGCTAGCAGCGTCTCCGCGGCGCCTCTGCGGCTGCACTGGTTATTACCGATCTGTCACGCCCGACCAGCCAGAGACGCGCTCGCCATCCTCGTTCTCGCGTTGCTTTATTTATTCCAGTGGAGGCGCGGCGGCGGCTGCTGCTGCTGCTGCCGCTGGGATGCTTGCACGTGTCTAGGCGACACAGCCCAAGGCTGCCGGCAGCAGGCAGCATTAGCGGCACACAACCCCAAGGTTGAGCTACAACGCCTCTCCAGCCCGCGAGCCTCCAGGCCGCCTCCAGGACTCCTCCAGCGCCCAGCGGCGGGGCGGGGCGAGGCAGGGTGAGGTGCCCCGCGGCGGCGCTTCCGCCCGGCAGCGCGGTGCGCCTGTTGATTAGGACCCCCGATTTGGGAGAGGGCACCTTCGGGCACCTTCGGCCACCTTCGGGCACCTTCGGGCACCTCCGGGCACCTTCGGGCACCTTCGGCCCGGGCGGCACCCTCGGGTGGGCGTGCCGTGAGGTCACCGCGCCGCATACAACGTTTGGGTGGGAATATTGACGCATAGCGATGACGCGGGTGATACGGCCGCCGCTACTGAGTGCCGGGCGATTTTTCTGAGGCGACGTCAGGGTCCCAACCCCACCAATACCCTCCAGGGGAGAATAGGGGGCAGCCAACACAGTGTGAACGCAAATCGGCACTAACGATGTAGACACGCACAGACACACAACTTGAGTCGAGGAGGACGCCGGCACTCTTGTCGTGCACGCACTCCGCGGGTACCGAGGTGACGCACGCACACGCACCACTTGCACCGTGTCGTCCGTCTCGCGCTGCACGCGGCACTCGCGACAAAGACACACACACCGTCCCGCTCGCCTCGCACAAAGCAACCACCTTGCCTGGCTACCGACAACGAACTGAGCGAGGCAGCAACGCGCGAGCCGCCAGCCGCGAGCCAGCCAACAAGCAACCGGCCACACCGGCCGAGTCAGCGCGGGCAACCGGCGGGAGGGGGCACCCCGCGAGACACGCCGCGCGCCCGACCCGACCCACCGCGGGGCCTGGCAACCCGGAGGACATAATAGGGCCGCCTTGTGCCGCTGCACGTGTGCGACGACGCGAGGACTAGACAGACACCCGCCCTCTTGCACCTTCACGGCGAAAACCATTTCCATCGCCGCAAAAAAGGTTCTCGCCCTCAAACCATAACCCCACACCGCGATAACCTCCGGCATGCCGCAACGCACGCCCATTTATAAACGATATCGTCATACCACCTCGTGATGATGAGTAACGAAGAATTTGATAACGGACGCCAGTATTTAAAAGTAATAAAAAAGAGAGAACATACACAACAATGCCGCTTCTCCGTGCCAAAAAAATGGAATACAGAGTGGCATGAGATAAAGGCAATATATGGGGCCGCAGGGAAAGGTCTCTCTGAATGGGTCTGTTTTCAACGAGTCAGGCAAGCGACTCAGGTACAGGGAAATAAAAACGAAAAAAGGGAGCTGTTGATTCCAACAATAAAACTTACTCGATTGTCCCACCAAGGGCAAACGCCGGCCGACAAAAATGGAAAAAAGGGGGCAAAACTTCAAATCGATATGCGTCCGACCCTCCCCGTCCAGCTGACGGCCACGCCACACTGACAGGAACGCTTAACAGCCATCGTCTGAACAGGAAAAGGGCGCTTCTAAAAATACAATAACGATGCAAGAAATAGTTGTTGCACGTCAATACTTTTATCTGTGGCTGTGTATGTGTGCTGGAAGCTCGAACTGACGTCACACGGGCGGGCAGGCAACCAGGTACTCACTCCAGTGTCCTGCCGCCCCCCC